TGTTTTTCTAATATGTTAAATTCAGCAAATAAACAGGAATTATGCATTAAGATGATCACCTTGTAGATGTAAAGTCAGAGACGATAGCTCATCTGCTGCTGCACAGTTTGTGTTGGTCATCCTCTAGTCCTTCATCAGTGGTCACAGGACGCTGCCCACAGGACACTGTTGGCTGGATGTTTTTGGTTGGTGGACTATTCTCAGTCCAGCAGCGACACTGAGGTGTTTAAAAACTCCAGCAGCACTGCTGTGTCTGATCCACTCACACCAGCACAACACACACTAACACACCACCACCACATCAGTGTTACTGCAGTGCTGAGAATGATCCACCACCCAAATAGTACCTGCTCTGTGAGGCTACATGGGGGTCCTGACCACCGAAGAACAGGGTAAAAGGGGGCTAACAAAGTATGCAGAGAAACAGATGGACTACAGTCTGTAACTGTAGAACTACAAAGTGCACCTGTATAGTAAGTGGAGCTGATAAAATGGACAATGAGCGTAGAAACAAGGAGGTGGTCATAATGTTATACACATAAATATACACATATACACACACTACTGGATAAACAATGTCCAGAGTGTTTCCTGCCTTCCACCCACTGACTTCTGGGAAAGGCTCCAGCACACCCTGCAACCCAGAAGGGTAAGCGGCTTAGATAATGTGTATGTGTGTGTGGATAAACAGTGCAAACAGCAGCCAATCTTATGTCAGATGTATGATGAATTTTATGCGTTCATGTATTTTTTACTTATTGTTTACACATGTTCTAATACATCGTTGCATGTTAGCAGTCACGTACTACGTTAACAAAGCAAATTCCTTGTGTGCTTGTCATAATTAGCCTGGTGTTTCTGATCATTTGGATGGCACACTGGCAGCATGCAGGCCGAGATGCTCAACACTGCTCTGTTTCTTACTCTCTGTATGCTTGGCCCAAAATGCACACAATTTTCCTGTTGGCATTTTTGGTGCCTCATTTATATTTGCACTGGAGCTACAAAGCTGTGGTAGCTAACAAGTACTGGAAGTCAGGTTGGCATTGTGCAAACTGCGTGTCTAGCAGTGCGCATGCCTCGGTCATACAGTGCCAGATAGAAGAATAAACAAGTCTGTTTGAGGTTACTGAACAATTCACTGCAGCCAGAGGCAAGTGGGTGAGGATTAAGGCATGCAATACCTGGTGTTCTTAGCATACAGGAATCAAGAGTCGGCTCTAAAGCTTTGAAGTCGATTCCGCATATTGGTGTTCATGTTTGCCTGTGCACATAAAGAATTCTGCTGTCAGTCATTAGGCAGCATATTGGAAAAATATATCCTTCTACAATATATACACTACATAGACAAAAGTACCCACAGGAGCTTTTATGACGTCCCATTCTAAATCCATAGGCATTAATATTGAGTTCTTCCCTCTTTGCACCTGTAACAGCTTCCACTTTTCTGGGAAGCTTTCTACAAGAGTTTGGAGAGTGTCTGTGGGAATTTCTGCCCATTCACCCAGAAGAGCATTAATGAGGTCAGACACTGATGTTGAACGAGAGGACCTGACTCACAATCTCCGTTCTAGTTCATCCTAAAGGTGTTTGATGGGGTTGATGGTCCAAAATGACCTGGTCTGCTGAAGCATTAAGATTTCCCTTCACTGGAACTGAGGGGTCTAGGCCAACCCCTGCAAAAACAACCCCATAGCATTATCCCTCCTCCACCAAACTTTACAGTTGGCACAATGCAGGTAACGTTCTCCTGGCATTCATGAACCCAGACTGTCAGACAGAGAAGCGTGATTCATCACAACAGAATGTGTTTCCACTGCTCCAGAGTCCAGTAGTGGTATGCTTTACATCACTCCGGCCCACCACGCCCACCCGCCCCAATTGGCACTATGCATTTTGATCTTAGGCTTGTGTGCATCTGCTCAGCCATGGAAACCTTTTTAGTGAAGCTCCTAATGCACAGTTCTTTCGCTGATGTTGCTTCCAGAGGCAATTTGGAACTTGTTAGTGAGTGATTAAACAGTGGATAGGAACTCTGAGGTGCTTCCATTTCACAATAATAGCACTTATAATTGACAGGGTACATCTAGCAGCATGAAAACCGGTTTGTGGCAGAGGTGGCATCCCAAGACAGTGCCATGTTTTTTTTTTTTTTTTAATTTTTACCCGATTTTCTCCCCAATTTAGTTGTCTCCAATTCCACCCGCTAGTTAGGACTCCCCCAATCACACGATACTATCAACGCTAGGAGGGTGAAGGCTAACACAGGCTTCCTCCGAGACCTGTGAAGCCAACCACCGCTTCTTTTCGAGCTGCCGCTCACGCAACGTCACTGGACAGCCGAACGCGCTTGGAGGAAAGCGCCAACCGCCAGATCTGTTACGTCAGCTAACAGACGCCTGCGCTGACTAGCATCGCGCTAAGTGATGGGGGGAGAAGGAGGGGCCATTCTACCCACCCAGAGAGAGCGAGGCCTATTGTGCTCTCTCGGACTCCCGGCTACGGATGGCTGTAGCATCACCAGGGATCGAACTCGCAATCTCCTGATGATAGGGCCAACACTTAGACGGTTGCGCCACTCCGGAGCCCAACAGTGCCATGTTTAAAGTCACTGAGCTCATCAGTACGAGACCATTCTACTGCCATTGTTTGTCTATGGAGACTGCAAGGCTATGTGCTTGATTTTATACACCTGTTAGCAATGAGTGTGGTTTTATACACCTAAACTCAATAATTGGGAGGGGTGTCCCAAGACTTTTGTCTATATAGTGCATAACAGTGGAACATTTTACTGTGGACAAAGTTGAGAATAAAGTAAAATGTAATTCTAGTGACAAAAAAATGGCTTACAAACAAATAAAATAAAATCAGGTACAGTTTAGCCCCCGTTAGTCAGCTAAGTTGATTTAGCTGGTGTTATCTCTCCACCTTTCCTTGCTAAAGTCAAATATAATGAATATTGTACTCTTTATTTTTGCTGGATGTCCTTTTTTATGAATAATTGAAATTATTGTGTGGAATCAGTTCTTGGAATTGAGTCCTTCGGTTCCTGTCACTTCTAATCAGAGTCAGGGGTCGACTCCAAAATTTCTGGAGAAAGACAGTGGAATGTGTGCTGTGGTCAGATCAATCTATAGTTTGGCTTGTTTTTGGGTAAAATGGGTGTTGAGTTCTCTGTGCCAAAGACGAAAGGGACGATCCAGACTTTTATCAGTGAAAGGTGCAAAATCTGTCATAGTATGGGGGTGCATGTGTGAAAGTATGATTGACCTGTAGGCGTATTTCTGGATTTTAGAGATACGTGTGCTGCTATTAAGATGATGTCTTTTCCCAGGAAGTCCATGCTTATCTCAGAAAGACAGTGTCAGGGCTCATTCTGCACATGCTTAAACAGCATGACTTGGTAGACAGAGTGTGTGTGCTTGACTGGCCGGCGTGCAGTCCAGATCTGTCTCCTTTTGAAAACGTATGGCGCATCATAAGAGGAGAATCAGACAATGATGACCACAGATTATTGAGCAGCTGAAGTTTTATATAAGCAAGACTGGGCAAAAATTCCACTCGCAAAACTGCAGCGATTAGTGTCCTCAGTTACCAAATATTAAGAATATTAATTAAAAATAAAGGTGATGTAACACAGTGGTAAACGTGCCTTTGTCCCTTTTTTAAATGTGTTGCAGGCATTGAATTCTAAAATTGTTTTTATTTACAAAATACAGTTCAGTTGGTCAGAGAAAACATTGGAAATCTCAGTGCTACTTTATTTTGAGTGGTGCTTTTTAAATTAAGCAAACACTCAACACACTCTCAGTGTGTCAAAAACATATGAGGGGTAGGATTAGGTTTTGGGTTAAGGTTAAAGTTAGGGTTAAGATTAGGTCCAGGGTGAAGGTTAGGATTAGGTTTTGGGTTGAGGTTAAAATTAGAATTAGGATTAGGTCCAGGGTGAAGGTTAGGATTAGGTTTTGGGTTAAGGTTAAAGTTAGGGTTAAGATTAGGTCCAGGGTGAAGGTTAGGATTAGGTTTTGGGTTGAGGTTAAAATTGGAGTTAGGATTAGGTCCAGGGTGAAGGTTAGGTGTTGGGTGAGCTTGGTAAGGTTAGGTTTTGTGTAATGGAAGTAACATATTAACAACACATCTACTTAATGTAAGTACTGTATCAACAGAACATCTACAAGATATTTACTTCAGTGTATTCAGATGCTTCACTACTGACACTTCATTGATATGCTGTTGATGTGTTACTGATAATCTGTTAAGAGTTTATTAATCATCTACAAAGGACCACTCCAAATAAAGTGTCACTGAAATCCTTTCTCTGTACTTTGGTCAGTTAAATAAAGTTTTAAGAGAATTAACAAATCACAGACACGGAAAAAAATCAGCCTTCATTATGGCTGCTACCATTGAGATCACTTAAGGTGAGCGTATGAGGAGTTGGTGGTCAAAAACTTCAGATACCAAACATGCCTTGGTTGATTGGCTTTTTTGGGGTAACACGGGAAAACTAGGGTAAATTTCTTTTGTCTTTGCATTATAACCTCAAACCTGCTGTATCCCTTATGTATGTCCTCTTTATCACCTAGCAGTATACAGATTACAGTGTGTATATACATAACAAGTCAACACAGTTTGAGATGTTACATGTTTTTCTTGCAGTTTCCTCAATGCCAACTTGGCCACATCAACATGCAGCGAATGTAATTGTGATCATGATCTTTCTGCACCAGCCCTCTCACACATCAATTATAACGACACAGCTCACATTTCCAGTTTTAGATGCTACATATATTCGTTTACATGCCAAGCAGAACAAGGGGAATTGCCGCTGGAATGTTTTAATAACTATTTTGGAGGTAAAGATAGTATCAGCTTACTGTGCACATGATGCATACACATTTTTTGTGTGGTTGTTGCTGATGGTTGAGTAAGATATGTTAATATATTGAAGTTAGTCACGTTTCTCTCTCTGTGTCCCTTTTTCTTTTCCACTCTCTCAGGTACTGAAGGTGCTGGGTGACTGCCTTGCAGCTGAAGCCTGGTGGTCTAACCAGCAATGAGTCGACTGCAGAACCGCAGAACCAGCTCAGTGCTGTAGTCGTCACTGAGAAATCGCGGTGCAGGTGTTCATTGTTATGCACTGGCGTCAAACACAACCAAGAGCATAGTACGATTATTATATCGTTGCTGTCGGAACAAAATCTCACATCTCTCTCCACAATGGTAACTTTACAGGAGAGGGAAAAACATCCTTAGCTGATAATGGACTTTATTTCAAATAATTTTGTACCATTTCTGTTTGTCTGTTTGCAATTATATTTTTGCACACAGCTGATATTTTCATATTATGTCAAGAATATGAACAATAGACATACAAGGTTTTGTTCCAGTAACGACAGTATACAATTTATATTACATAGAGTTATAGAAAATAAAGCAAAAGCACATAGCAAAGGATCCATTACATTGCACAGAAAAGTGCATTTGGGGTTTTTGGGGGTTATTTGCATTTTGTGAGGATAGCTGGAGAATAAGTTTAGGGGGGCCGGGCATCTCTAATTTTTTTTTTTCTTTTTTTCTTCAGTGCAATTCAAGATTGCACGATCAAGCTAAGGAGATGTCCACAGGGGCATTTGGTAAAAATGATAACAGTTAATATGTGATATCCTGCAGTGGTAGACAATAACATTTGACAGATTTTCACAAGTTATTGTAGCACGTATGAGCTTCCTGCAACCTGAAATCAGTACAGTATTAACCAGTAATATCACAACCCCCTCCTGTTATCGCTCAGCTAGCTCAGAGACCCCCCCGATACTGTATTTCACTCACAAATATGTCCCAGTACAGAGGAAAATGTTTTGTAATGTTTGATTCACATTAAGCATTTTAATATAACATATTTATTAGAATCCATTTTTGTCTGCTTTTTGTTCCTTAAGGCTTGTTGTTACTTGCAGCCATATGCAAAAGACCCCAATCAGATGTTTTGTTGATTTTGTAAGTGAAAATAAGTTAAAACATCCTCGACAGAGAACGCACTTCTGTACATTTTAATGCACAAGTAGTTTTGCATTTTTTTGAAGAATTTATCACCCTGGAAAAAAAGTAAAATGTAAAATGTGGCCTGTGCCAAAGTGATGCCAAATTTTATATTTGATGTTTCATTTTTTTCCAATATGTTAAATAAACAGTAATTGTGCATTAAAATGTGCAGAAGTTTGTTCTCTGTAGAGGATGTGTTTTTTACATAGATTATTTTTACATAGAAATGAAACTAAACTTGTCATTTGACTGGGGGAGTTCAAACTTTTGCAAGTTTTAGGATTCTCCAGGCCCAGCATGCCAAATTCAACTCAGCAGGTAATTATCAAACCCTTCATGCATCCAATAAAGAGGGGAAAACACAATTCTGTACAGAACTTACAGGAAGAATTTGATGTATTTATGGCTCGAATGTCGGATGCTGTCCTAAACGGTTCAGGTTCATTGAGAAGGAAAGTTTAGCTTAGGCGTTATACAAGCCTGCTAATGAATCATAGGCTTTGTTAGAATAAGGAAACACATTGATAGCACTGTGATGATAAAGAGGAGATACAGAAGTACACACACACACACACACACACGCACTCTTTCTTGACAACTGATGCCTTGAACAACAGGTTTGACACCACTGTGTTTTGAATAGTCGTATTGCGATTGTGTAGATGATTTAATACCCTGCCTTTTTTCAAATTCACAAATCAATTTTTCTATTTTAAGAAACCTGACTTTTCATATTCTGCACATATTCTGTTTTTTTGTTTGTTATTTGTTTTTCTTCTTCTTCTTTTTTCTTCTCTTTGCATCCGGATGAGTTCTTTGTCCGACATGATCTGCTCTACTGTATAATGACAGATTGCTCTAATCACAGTTCTCCTCTATTCATTCTTTATTTATTAAAGATTGTCCAATGGTATCATTGTAAAATAATGATACAGTAATAACTGTAACTAATAGTGGTTCAGTTTTGTGAGTCGTCCCATGTGAAATTACAATACACAGTCGTGCTGAACGTTTGTACACCCCTGTCAGTTTCCACTTTTTGTTCATTGAAAATAAGTTAACACTTAATTGATCCTCTACATGGGACAAACGTAAATATGGCAATTTTCTGCACATTTTATTGCACAATTTCTGTTTATTGGTTGAGCTTAACATACAACATAAAATATGAAGTGTGCTATAACTTTTTCACAGGCCACATTAACGCCCCCCCTAATAAGTTAAATTCAGTAAATAAACAGTTAATGTGCTTTAAAATGTGCAGAAGTTTGTCTCTGTAGAGGATGTGTAACTTATTTATACTTAAAAAATCAACCAAATATCATTTGACCAGGGATGCACATACATTTGCACACAACTGTACATTGCAATATGGCTATAAATCTAAATAAAACATTTTCTCAGTATTTTATATGGGATTGTACTGTATATGTTTGAGTAATTTGCATCAAGTGATTAAAATGAATAACATACTATTATGAAAATATTGAAATGCATTAAATAAATATACAATGTTTTTATTGTGTGTACAGCAGTTAAAAGATTATCTGAAAGGGTCTGAATATACTGTTAGCAGCTGTGACCTCTGAACTAGTGTTTGATTTATTTTTAGAGAACAAAAGCATGAATAATAATGATCTCCTGTAACCATTTCATTTTTGAAATACTGTTATGAAAAAAATGTTTTGGCACAATAAAGTGTTGTGAAACAAAGAAAGCACTGATGTCTGTATATGCAAATGCTAAACCGGCAGTGTTACAGCAAACCGCCACATGAATGAATGATGACTCATCTGTCTTAATTATAGCATCATCATCCACCCAAACTAACTGCAATACTTGAAGGAGACTAGCAGATCAGAGTTCAGCATAAATGTAAATGGAACATGTCTAGTAGTATATTGTATATGAATATTTTGTATATTGTGTGTATATTGTGTTGAATCTGGTCTTGGTCTTGATATCATTTGGACTTGTCCCGGTCTTGGGATAATGTAGCCTCACCATCATTTACATCATTTATATACATATATGTATAAATAAATATATATATATATATATATATATACATACATATATATATATATATATACATACATACATACATATATATATATATATATATATATATATATATATATATATATATATATATATATATATATATACATATATATGTATGTATAGATAGATAGATAGATAGGCATTACAAGATGTTATAAAATAATATAATAAAGTAGACTTTTGTGACAGTTCACAAAGTAAATCAATGAATCAAACTAAAGAGGCTAATAATGCTGAAAAATAGTTAGTAAATAGTCAAAAATAGTAAATGTAGATATATAAAAGTTCATTAGAAAGAGGTAAGTGCTTATACTTTAAACGCAGTATTACACCCCTCCACTGTCCGAGCCTTGGCATTACATTGAAGTAATATCCAGTAAGGTTAGAGACCAAACGTGTCTCTCCAGCTTTTACTAATAATAAAAGCTTTATTATTACATATTATATATAATGTATAACAAACAATTACACAACAACAATGAACTACAACCAAATTGAATGTTTTTACCCTTCTTTTTGTTTTTATATTCTAAAAAAATTACAATGCTAGTGCTAGGTAAACATCGCCCTGTACATTGTTTTATTTTTGGCTTTAAGTTCATTTCTGCAGTTTTATTATACATAATTAAACTCAGTTTTTTTTAAAGGTGATTTGCATTGTCTGTATATATATATATATATATATATATATATATATATATATATATATATATATATATATATATACACATCGCTGTCGTTGGAAGAAAACCTTGTATCTCCAAAATGACAACTTTACAGGAGAAGGAAAAAACCTACTTTGCTTTTAATGTAAGTCAATGGAACCAGAATTTCATTTTGAATTTCAGGTCACTTTGTGCTGTTTCCTTTGGGTTATTCATCATGAAATTTACACACAGTGTAAAGGCATTTTCAAATTATGTCAAAAACTGACATGAATGGAGATGCAAGGTTTTCTTCCAACAGCAGTGATATATAGCTCATATGATGTCATTACAGTCACTTTGGGTTTGTTTTTTTTTGTTTTTTGTTTTTTGTTTTTTTTTTTTACTTTTTTTAAAGTGACTTCAACTTGGAACACTGTCCTACCTGAGTTTGGAGAACTTAAAAAGTTGATCCAATGTCATATATTCTGTATGATGATATACATATTCTGACATGACTTTGGCACAGTATATGAGTGCTATGGGTGCAGACTATAAGCCCTAGATTTTGGCCAAAAAAAATAGAAGAAGAAGAAGAAGAGACAGCATGGCACCAACAGGCTGTCAGAGCGGCGTTACAATGATTGACAGATACAAAACGGTACAGAGTGGCTACGTGCTGTAATCTACCCTTATCCTCAGCTACCAGCAGGCCTAGATTGATCAGTACAGCCATGCACCGTCCCAGAGCTATGCTCGGAATGAGAGTCGTTTACTTTAGCTTTTAGCTCCTGGGAATTCTTACAGAATTCTGCTGATTAGTGCAGAGTTCAGTGCCATCCTGCAGCCGCCTGGTTTTGTCCTGTGCTGTTTGCATGCATCGTTTGCTGTGACATGGGCCAGTAGTTTTTGTGTCACAGGCTATAAGCCAGGGGTTTGAAAGCACGTACTTAGCAAAAATCAGCATTTTTCACATTTTTCTCGAGAGATAACTGACGGTAATACGTTTAAACTCTGAATTAAAGGGTTTGTGTGCAGCAGTCGTGTGTTCAGTGAGTGATAATGAGTTAGTGCTGATTAAATTGTGGAGTTTTATTGAAACTTTAATCATGTTGGTTCCTGGACAATTCACTTGAAGGGGAAATCCACCAAATTTTTAGAATGTCTGCATAATTAATAGATTAAGATGTAAATGAATTCAGAGTGGTTTCATGTGAAATGCTTCGTTCTAGGGAAACTTAGAGTCAGAATTGTTCACAGTGGAGCAACCTGACATCTGAAGAGTTTAATTTCTCTAAAGCTCACAGCATCAAAAAGTTATTACACGAAATGTTTATGAATATGTCATCTGATGTCTGAGAACATTGTTTTATGAATATTTTGAGATACAATTTTGGACTGAAAGGCATTTTTTAAAATACATTCATGGCAAATAGGTATATGCAGGGCGCTGCAAGGCAAAATAGTACCAAACAAAATGTGTTTTTTTATTTTATTTTATTTTAATTAATTAACCTATTTATTTATTTATTTATTTATTTATTTATTTATTTGGTTCCCTGTTGTTCTCATCACCACCACTGTAAAATAATCCAACTCAGAGTTCTCTGGAACAAACCATTTCACATCAAACACTCTGAATAAGTTTGTTTACATCCTAAACAGTAAAGAACATTTCAGCCTACACGTCTTCTTCATCTTCAGTTTTATATGTATGTCGTCATATTTGATAATGGTAAAAATCTAAACCAAAAACAAAATTAGAGAATGATTTTGTCTTATAATACCTTCCATTTAACTCTGTGCAATTTAAGAAAATACGTTTTAGGCCAGAACTATCATAAAACAATGTCTCAGGCATCAGATAATGTATATAGCCATGCTTTGGATGTCTGGTTCCCATCAACACCACTGTGAAGAAAACTTCCTCGAAAAGTATCTCTGGAATGGACCATTTCGCATCAAACTGACTTGAATGACTTTGTTTACATTT